AATTTTCACAGATTTCCAAAAACTAGAAAAATTTTCTTATGAAATTTTGTAAAAAAAAAAGCTTCCATCCCCAACCTATAAAAATATATATTCTTAAAATCTTCATCCTCACTACAAGAATTTCTACAAGCTTTCGGTGATTTTGGAGTAAATTGCCACCTTTAGCCCTTCTTTCAAGTTGAAAAAAATAACTTTTTTCAAAAAAAAAATGGAAGAAGAAAAAAATTGAATATTGTCTGGCTTTTTGAAATACACGGTCCAACATGTAAGAAGGTAGGTTTGGACTTTTCATCTCGACTTATTACTTCCACAACACTTGTAATTATAATTATATATTTTTTAATTTTTTAATATTTTAAAAATATATAAAATATATGTTCAGGGGTGTTGGTGATGTAGGTGAATGAGTCAGTAATGGTGACGATGTGGAGGTTGCTGATTAAAATGACACCCGAGAGAATGAAAGGGGTTCTTTTGATATTTTAAAAATATATAAAATATATGTTCAAGGGTGTTGGTGATGTAGGTGAATGAGTCAGTAATGGTGACGATGTGGAGGTTGCTGATTAAAATGACACCCGAGAGAATGAAAGGGGTTCTTTTGGTGGTATTTGTCTCATGTGCAGAAGGTTACATGTTATGGGCCATCCCGTTCTGTTAGGTGATAATATCTCGCAATGCACTTTTCAATAAAAGCTTTTAAAAGATGAACTTTTCAACCAGGCCGGTAAAGCTGGGTAGCAATGGCGGGATTCTAGGGGTTCAAGGTAATCACACAACTACCAAAAACATGATGGGGAGAAGTTGTACATTGTTAAGAAAAGGCAGCAAAGATGTAAAATACATATGGTTTAAATATTACAACTGGAGAATCACATTCTTACATAAATCATTGTAACATGATAATAATGACAATAAATGTGACCTTTTTCATCCCTAGTGTAGACTTTTACTCTATAACGAACAATCCTCATATTGAAAATGAAGAGTACAGTAACTCCAATCTTGAGGTTCTTCCAAAGACAAAAGGGATAAACTTGAGAGTGGTGATGGAAGAAGGAAAAGTGACCGCTTAGGAGCTTACAAATAGAACGCTTGATCCTGTTTTGATGCTAACCTTACGACCTTAATCATCTGATGCTCAAGAAGAATTATTCGAAAGCTGAAACTGTAGTATGTTGTTCCCCAGCCATAATATCCTGCAAATCTGCAAATATTTTGTAGTGCCAGGTGATATTCTGCAATGTTGGAAAATATTCTGCAGTGCGAGAAAATGTTCTGCAAAGCTAGAGGATGTTCTGCAGTGCTAGAAAATACTTTGCAGAGTTAGAAGATATTTTACAGAGTTGGAAAATACTCTGCAGAACTGGAGCCACTAGAAACCCAAGAAAAATGGTGGTTTACAGGTGATTTTTGCCTGCAGAGCAGTGGGTTGAAGATGGAATTTATTTTTCTTTGGAGGGGAAATGAGAGTTTTGGTGTGTAAGTCTATTGTTGTGCTACATGCATCCCTTTATTTTTCCAAATTAAGGGTAGATAATTTATATATATATATGCAATGATATTGTTGTAATTTCTGATTGGTGGTTTAGAGGTGTGTAGAAAGATTAGGGTGAGCTGTCAAATTTTTGGTGGTTCCAGGCACTGTTGACAACTCTATGACAATGGCATCATGAATTGCCCAATGGTCCCAGCAAAGTTTTGCTGGTTCTCGCGAAGAAACTAGAAATTGTATATATTTAGCAATGTCTCTGGCCATACAAAATCCCATCTTTGAGGAGGTGCTTAAGTGTAGTCGGCAAAA